AGAAGTCGTCAGCAAAGTTCAGGAATTCAAAATGTGAAAAAAAAGAGATGGAAAATCAAAGGCCAGATTAGCCTGTAAGGGGCCACAGGGCAGAACTCTGTTGTCAGGCCCCTATTGTCAGCCCACACACCCCCCCCTTCCCCCCAAACTCAGTATGAGTCCTGTCGCCTCCAGGTGCACACAGAGAGCCAGAAACCAGTTACTAACATGTTTTCTGTCAGTGTGTTTGAGATCATTTGATTAAACTTTATTTAAGAACGTGAGCAAAAATAAACCAAAACAATAAAAGTCTGAATCTAGATTCTGACGCAGGGACCTTCTCCAGCTGCTTACCCCGTGTTTTATCTAAAAAAATGTATTATGTCACCAAAGGTCAATTCAGTAAAGTGTCCCTGGGTTTTTATTATTATTATTACAAAGCTGGGGCAGATCATAAAGCTGGACCAGCCTTATCTGATAATCTGCTGTAGTGACAAAATCTGCATTTAATTAAAGTATTATAAAGATCTGACAATGAAGCTGGGCAAAGCAGTTTCCCACTTTGTCCATTTCTTAAACCAGCTATGCTAAAATACCTCCTTCCCCTCTCTTTCACTTGTCAAGACAATCAAACAAACTTGAATTTAATTTGACATTAAAGACATTATAGAGCCGACATGTTTAATCTGAGTTTCACACCAGGTGTAGATGCTCCAATCTGGATTAGCTGTCACATGACCTGAGGAATGTGTGTGTGTGTGTGTGTGTGTGTGTGTGTGTGTGTGTGTGTGTGTGTTTGTGATGAAAGGCTTATCTGTGGTGGCTTTTAATTGACTCACATTCCAACGTCTGTTCACTCCTTCACAGAGAATCCAACACCTCCTCTGTGAGGAAACAAGCAACAAACCTCCACCTGCAGCTCCACCTGTCCGTAACAGAGTACTTTTACTCCAGTACAAATTTAAGGTACTCGAGTAGTTCTACTTTTTTACTGCACAACATGCGTTTGACGGCTTCAGCTACTTTACGAATTGATTTTTAAATACAAAAACGTGAAAAGTTCATCTGAAATGATTAATCGATCTGCAACCTAGTTCTCACTCCCAGTTGGTCACATATGAACACATGGTCAAGACACGTTGGCGTCAGTTTGTAAAGCACTCGGGGAAGCCCTGTTGAGTCAGTTCTAAACGCTAAAGGTAGATGAAGGATATTTAACATTATAGTCGGATTAAAGTGCAATTTATACTTCGGCGTCCAATCGACGGCGTAGCCTCTGTGTAGCCCCGTCGCCTACGCCATTGCCTGACGCGTACCTTCTCAAAAATGTAAGTACACATCGAGGCGGACCGTAAGAACTGTGATTGGTCGGCCTCTCAATGCCTCCAAGCTGACAGGAAGTGGTCCTTGCTTTGAAGTAAAGTAAGTTTATTAGCGGCCAAAACAGCGGCTGTAACACGGTGGATCAATATATTTGACCGTCACAACCCGAGTGAAATGACTCAGAATGTGATCCATTCGATTGGAAACATTTCAAAAGACTAGAACAGCCGCACATATACAATTTTACACCCATTCACATTAGCTGAATGGTTGTAAAATACAAAGAAAAATATTCTTAATCACTTTTGTGTTTTGCATTTCATTTAAAAAAAATGTAAAGTACCCTGTGAAAAAGAAAGTCTTTCTAGGCAAGTCCTGCCACTCGGCCGCCATCTTGGCAACGCCTCCTGGCAGCTATTTCAAACTAACAAGACCTATCTGAATGAACAGGGAGAGAGAGCCACAACTGCACTTTTACTGGTCACCGGGACATAAAAATCGCTGAAACAGTTTGACGACATTGCCACAAAATAAGGTTAAAAAAGCGTTTTCCTGACCGGTTTCAGAAAAAGACCCATACGTCAGTGGAACCACACGATTCGCTGAAATGTTTCCCGCTTTGGCTGTTAAAAGCAGACGATTGGCTTTCTAGCGGGAGGGGCGGGATAACCGCCATCTTTGCTATTACAGGCTTTCCCCATAGAGTTGTATTGAGGATGCGATTGAGTGGCATGTCCCCTCTATATCTCTGGCAAAAGTCATGTACAGTTACTCCTCCAGGTTGTGGATAGAGACTCTGCAGTGGACAGATGTACAGTGAGTTATGTTGTTATGTTAGAATATGCTATTATGTTATAAATATTGTTTATTGTTTAACTTAGTTCAAGTTGAGAAATACACATTTCAAAATATCAGTACTTGTGCATTCCTTGATAATTAAGCAAGCAGACTCATAGTAGCCTACCATTTGTTTCATTATAATCACATTATAATAGCAAATCGCAATATTGTCCACAATAATTGCAATATGACTTTTTCTTCAAATTGTGCAGCTCTACTTTTTTATCTTAATTAATGACTCAAACCAATTAATCTATTAGCAAAATAGTTGGCGATTAATTTAATAGTTGATAACTAATCAATTAATTGTTGCAGCTGTAACACTTTAATGATTATACTTTTACTAATAACATTTTAATATATACTAAAGTACGCTTACTTAGGTAAAGGATCTGAATAGTTTCTCCAACACTTAATCGTTTCACCGCAAAAGCGGCGTTTCGACCAAAGGAACTATACCCCGGAAGTAGGAACCTTTGGAGGAACCAGGGTCTAAATGTAGTTCTAGGGTCTTCATTTTACCCCCTACTTTACGAAAGTACCGGTACTTTGGGGGGGTGGGGCTTGCCTTGCAGTGAATTTCTGAATGGGCGAGTAGAGGCTACTGGCTTTAACTGGAGAATGTCGGCTGTTTTTCTACGACTGCTCGTCTCTTTTCCACCGTTTTTTGCAAACCAATAAATCACAATCAACAGTCACAAAGCCACACACGTCTCGCCGATGTTTGACTGAGAACGTTGTTGGCAGTAAATGTATTGCAAATAGCAGCCAGCGTGCAGCGGTGTGTTTACAGCGAACAGCTGATGGGGTTACGTTAAATACTGGGTCTGGAGTTGTTGTTTTAAGTTTTCATCAGTAATGAGGTTTCTGCACGGAGCTGAAGTCGGTCTCCTCCTCTCCAAAACACGAGGAACAGCTGATTACAGCAGGTAATAAAGCTCGTTAAACTTCCCGTTCCTCCGACGCTCAGGCGACACAGCTGATCTGCAGCTCTTGTCGCTGGAAATGTTTTAATAACCTTCCAAACTGTGTTTCTTTGTACTGGAGTTAATTTACGTGATTGCTTTGTCCAGTTTGTTATTAAATGTGTAACAAACTTTATCGTGTGTCTCTTCATTATACTCCCGCACAAAAAAAGCTGCCTGGTCAAGCACAGCCTAGTTTTTCATTATATTCCAGTAAATCTGATGTTGATTTTTAAATGTTGCTCATGGATAGTGGTTACAAGTAACGATGCCTGTGCATCGCTTTGTACGGCGTACAGGCCTACAGCCTACATCAGCTGCTTAATTTGCCCAATCTTCACAGGTCTTTAGACCACAATGGAAACGCACACAACAGTGGGCCGAAGGAACCTTTTAGTTCCTTAGAAAACAGATCTGGGGACTCAAAAGTCCCGGGTACTTTGGGTGGAAACTCGCTAAAAAGAGTCAGAAACCAAAAACAGCAGCTCCGCCTGCAGACAGAGAGGACTCTTATTTTGTAAACGGCTTCAAAGGTGATTAAGAGCCAATAGAAAACCTTATCAGGTGTCAACAAACAAACAGAGACATTTCTCTTATCAAACTAATCAATCAGACAACACAACATTTGCATCTGAAACGGCTGAAATACTGAAGGCAGCTGCAGCCAGAAGGAAAGTGTTGAAAGAAGCCGACGTCTGAGTTTAAGAGCAGAAACTGAAGCTGAAGCACTGAAAGAGTTTAAAATCACCACAGTGTAGATTAAATACTGAGGTCCTGAAAGAGTTTAGTGCCACTTCAACATCTAACCCAACAGATGATATCAGCTGAAGGGAGATAGAAGTACAGGCTGCAACTAAGAGTTATATTCATTCTTGATCATCTTCTCGATTAATCGATAAGTTGTTTGGTCTATAAAATGCCAGAGAATGGTAAAAATGTCTTGTTTTGTCCACAACCCAAAGATATTTGTCGTTGAAAGCAAGGAAACCAGGAAATATTCACATTTAAGAATCCGGAATCAGAGAATTTAGACTTGAAAAAATGACTCAAACCGATTACATCGATTATCAGAATAGCTGAGAGAGTTCGAAGTGTCGAGGTGTGCTCACTGATTTAACAGAAACCCCTTTATCAGGAGTGTCAACAAACAGAGAGAAGTGATTTAAAGTGGAGAAGAGTCTCAAAGGGGCCCTGAGCAGATGGAAACCACCTGGATCAATAAACCATAATTAAATAGAAGTTAAAAAACACTTTAAATTTGTAACACTGTATATAAACGTGATTCTTAAGAGGAATTTAATGATAAAACCCCATCAGATGCTGCTTAATTTAAATTAAATGAGTTTTTCTTCCAAAAAGTTATGTAAAGTATCACAATAACATGTTTACCATTTTTTAGGTTAAAAATGAATTGACTGCGTCCCTAGTGTCAATCACAGGTTTAATAAGTTGCGTCAAATTAATTAATAAATATCTGCTGAATTATATAAAATGCCAAAATAACTAACTGACTAGAATTTTCTTTTTCTGTGTGTCAAGTTAGGAAGGTAAAATAAATATTATTTTAATATAACTAAAAAACAAAAAGTGTGTTCTTGAGCTCTGGACACTTTAAAGTATTTATTTACGATATTTTATGATATAAATGATTAACTGAGGAACGAATAACAATTGTAGCCCTGCATAAATGTTCACAGCCAGACCTCGTTTGAATTTCACTCATTTTAAAGTCGCTTTTTGTGTCCTATTCAATCTTTAATTTTAACTTTAACAGCTAAACTGGATGAGTTTTAAAGGGGTTTACACCCGAAACCTTGTTCTAGTGTTTTTTACACTGATTCTTGAGTAACCTGTAACTCTGCCCAGTTAAAAGCAGCTGGATGTTAAACTCACGTAAACTTTGTCGAAGGTTCCGCTGAAGAAGAACAGAGATGCGTTGAGGCGCAGCTCGGCGGTGGAGTCGGAGCCGGGCTGCAGCTGCTGGTCTCCGGCTCCTTCCCCGAACTCAAACAGCTCCTCCAGCTCCAGAGCCCGGGTCAGAACACTCAGGCTCAGCAGACACGACCAGACCCGCGACCAGCTCCGGAACCCGGGACTCATCTTCGCGGTAAAAAGCTCCACGGACGCGGTCGGACCAGCGGTGTTCCACAATTCAGCAAGCCGGGACAGAGGCGAGGGGCAGCGGGTCAACAGAGCAGCAGGGAAGGATGCGGAGTGAGGAGAGGAGAGGAGAGGAGAGGAGAGGAGGAGGGAGGAGAGGAGGGAGGAACAGCGGGAGATACAACCTCAACTTTTCTTTTCAAAATAAATTATTTATCGATCTAAAACGATGTTTGTATTGTTCTTTGAATTGAATAAATAAAATCAGTTTAATATTAAAGAAGCACCTACAGATGCAGATAGTCCTCTAAAAACACACTTTTATCAGAAAGCATATCCTTTTCCTTGCCTCTGTCTCCTAGTGCTGCTCTTGGTGGGAACTGTTGGGCTTCTGTAAATAACATCATAGAGTACGGTCTAGACCTGCTCTTTTATGAAAAGTGCTGTGAGATAACTGTTGTTGTGATTTGGCGCTATATAAATAAAATTGAATTGAATTGACTGTTTCTATGAACTGTACCAGACTATTTCCAGTATTTTTGTCGTTGTTCTTTTACAGTTCTGCTTAATTCCGTGTTCTTCCTTCCAGTATGGGTTCAAACTCTTAGCAGCCTTGTGTTCATTATGAAAATCTTAATATTCTGTCATTTTTTACAAATTCAGACATGTCCAATGTTATAAATGTGTTTTCCTGTATTTTGAAAATACAAAAAATACACGTATTTTTAAAAGTATTTTGTAAAAAGACACATTTGGGCAGAACCTTAACAATATCTCCAAAAAGACATTTATATTGTCTGTATTTGTTTTGTTTTCTTGTTTCTGTGGAGGTGTAGAAAGCGTTAACGAAGCTTTTATTTTGGTACAAAATTACGACCGGAAGTTCTTGAATTTGCAATAATCTAGTTTTACACACCAAACTCCATCCATCGTCAACCGCTTATCCTGCGTACAGGGTTGCGCCAATCCCAGCTGCCGACCACTCACACCTAAGGACAATTTAGGGTCATCAATTAACCTAGTCCACATGTCTTTGAAGGGTGGGAGGAAGCCTGAGCACCCCGAGAGAACCCACGGGGAGAACATGCAAACTCCACACAGAAAGGCCGGGGATGGTCAGGGTTCAAACCCACGACCTTCTTGCTGTGAGGCGACAGTGCTAACCACTGCAGCACCGTGCCACCCAGGCCAAACACAATTAAACAAAATACTGTAACAATGGCAATAAGAACAGGCTGATCCAAGACACTATAACCTTTAGTAGAGATGTGGTCCAAAACAATGATTTAAAATAATCTGAGCAATTAAGTGCTGTGTTGTAAATTTATATAACTTCAATAACATTTAAACTGCTGCATAGAAACAAACTGAATTATTATGGTGCGTTTAAAAACACTTGGTCTAAACAATTCATTATAATAAGAGACATGGAGGCATTTTGGTTCATCAGGTTGTCTTTGGGTTACTCAGAGCTCTTCACATTCAGGACGCTGTCGCCATCTAATGGACACTGAGTCAAACTGTGTGACTTCATCCTTTACTTTCTTTACCTCCTGACTTTTTCCACTCCTCTTCCCATTTGCCCTTTGTTAGAGTTTCCTCCTGATGGACCTCCTTTCCTTGAACCTCAAAAAGCATTGGAAACTTTTTTTTTTGCTTGGGGCAACAACAGCAACAATCAATGGGCCTCATTCACTAATAAGATTTTTCTTAAATTTGTTCTTAAGAAGGTTCCTAAGAAAAATTTACGTCTGTTTCACAACCTGAAACTACAGAACTGTTTGCAGCTGTGTTCTTAGAATGATCAATCCAATAATGTTCGTAAATTTAAGGCAGGTGCCCGTTGTTCCTATTTAGCTTTAGCTCCCCGTTTATCACCATATAACAGCATGAGACAGAAACACAGATAGAAGAGCAGGCATCCCAAGTCTCTTAATTGCATCCACATTTCCATCACTTGCGTCTTTTCCCTGCATTTTAGTTCTGTTAACCGGACATGCATGGAGAGACGCAAGGAAACTTTTTATTTTACCTTTTAAACTTTCTTCACAGCTGATAAGGCCCTTAAGGAGAGGGATTTATATTATTATTTATTTACATTATTTATAAATGAGCAATAAAACAAGCATTGCTTCACCTAGAAGTGTCAACACATAATAGATTCTGTTCTTACCTAGGAACAAATCTGGAATAAGAAAACAATGGCGAATGAGTCTTTGTGAAAACTGCAGAAGTGGGTTTTTAGAAGAAATCTGTTCTTAAGAACAGTTGGAGGATAAGAGAGCCAAATGTTTTTTTGTTTGTTTTTTTACAGACCCAATAGTTTTTTAATGCAGTGCTCTACCAAACGGTTGAGATTTTTTGATCCAGTGTGTAATATTTAAGAGGATCTATTTAAACAAATGCAATATAATATGTTTTCTGTGGTGTATAAAGACCTTACATAATGAACCATTATGTTTTTATTACCTTAGAAAGAGACATTTCTAGCTACAGACACCGCGGGTCCTTAGAAGGATGTCGCCATGTTGAACTTCCATGTTTCTACAGTAGCCCAAATGGACAAACTAATCTACAGAGCACGTTTCATCACTATCTTGAATACGTATGAGGAAGAAGAAGAAGAAGAAGAAGGAAAAGTAATAGTTGTCTGGTTTATTAGAAGAAGAGAAGTGAAATTTGGACAAATGGAGGACCACGCGTATTATTTAGCACCAGAGCCAACAGAGCGCAGAGATGGGGACTTGACTTGAGACTCGTCCTCAAAAGACTTCAGACTCGACTTGGACTCGATGTGCGGGACTTGTGAACAATGTTTATTGTTAGGAAGCGTCTGGTGAGCTTGCTGTTATTCCCTCACTCCGTTACCTATAACCTGCCTACGTAACACGTAACATCTGCTGCGCACAGCCACACGTGAGAGAGGACAACAAACAGCAGCAGCTGCTGAGCCATTCATCATAAACTTTAAAACTTCATACAACAAGACCCTAACAAAGAAGCACTGAACGCAAAATAGGTTAGTAACCTGAGGTTAATAAACATGTTTAGCTAACGTTAGCTTGCTTCTTGCTTCAGCTACGACCTACGGGAGGTTAACTCCGACTGTCGTTCGTTATGAAAAGAAGAATGAGCGTTTGTTTACTTGCCCAACTTGTGGTGGTCGATTAACTTAATCATTTACGTCCCGCTGGCTGCCATCACGATAATTATTAACGTCGGCTGCAAACAGGTTACAGGTTTATTGTTGTGTTGACTTACTGTAGCTAATAAGCTGTGATTAGTTGTAGATGCTGGATACAATTCACAATATGTCATTTTTTTATCAAATATTTAATGGAATAACATTAAATATATTACATTAACAACAGTGAATGTTGTTTTTATTTCATAAAAATTGCGAATTGCATCACTACATTTATCAGTAAAGGGCAACTCAACCGTATGGTCAAGCATGTTTTTAGAAAATTACACGACCCTTGTTAGACTTATTTTGTTGTATCAAGTTAAATAATTCTATTAAGTAAGACCTCTGGAAATATAATATGTCTAAAAAATGTGCATACCTTTAAAAATTCCACCAAACAGAGTCCTCATGTCAGGAGTGACTTTGTTGTTTCTTACTTTGTGTAAGGCTGGATGCCTAATTCCCTCTGAAGTGGCTGTGAGCTGCACTTTATCAGAGGTGCTGAAGTGAACATGTGTGTGGAAGTGTAGTGAGATTTCTGTCTGATCACCAAGTGTGAACCAAGTGTTTTCAGTTTCGGTTATCCACCTCTGATGAAGAGAGCTTGTCTCACCCAGTACAGTCCCAGACGGGCTCTGTGTCTGTCACACAGAGCCCTGTCTCTGACGGTCGAAAGGGGGTTGCGATTGTATTCTCGTAATATTAAGGCTTTTGTCTCAAAATATTATTCTGAAAATGTCAGAGAACACAGATATGTGGGAGAGATTTTGAATATGCAGATAGTTTTGAACATGAGCAGAAAACCTGCTGAAACAGAGGAGCTACTAAAGTCCAAAAGTTTATTTAATTACTCTATCATTCAGGTGAAAAGGTGCCACATGCACATTTAAAGACTTTAGGTTACTTCAGGCATGCCTGCATCTTTGCTGACTCAGCAGGGATGAAATTGAATGAGAAAAGTTGATATACAGGAGAAACATATCAGACAGCAATACAGAATGCCTGAGAGCTGTACTGCATGATATTACATTATATTTTTATATTTTAAACTGTCACCTGAATTTTGTGTTTACTTTTATATAAATAAAGACTTTTCCTCAATAAATTGGTGCAGAAAAAGTGTTTAAAGCCCAAATTTCTCAGGGGGAGGACCCCCCCATTAATATTATCAGTTAATTATTATCAGTAATAACTATAAAAATCATAAATGTATTTATGTGACCTATGATATTTAATAATTAAAATGTAGCTCAATGATGTATAGGTAAAGTAGGTATAAGGTTCAGTTTGAAAAATGGCATAACAAGGTAGCAACAGAAAATGAGACAGCTGATATATTGCTGTGTAGGGCTGCAACTAATGACTATTTTTGTCGACTAGTCTGTTAATTAATTATTTGATTAATCGACTGGTCGCGATTATTTTTGTCATCCCCTAACCCTAATTAAACCATTTAACTAATTAAATATCTTTCAAGTGAATTACTGATCTCCAACACACAGCCTAACAAGCTAACGTTAGCATTAAGTGAACGAGGTTTACTATTCAGAATTAACACCAGGATCAACGGCAGGGGGAAACCAGGGAAGAAGAAAAGACAGCGTAGGCTCCTCCTGTAAGTCACTGATTTATACAAACTTTAAAGCTTTTAACTGTTTAAGAAAGATTGTTGGAACTATATAAAATAAGAGCAAGTACTATAACCACAACTGTACACTAACAATGTAATGTCTATTTAGAATAACAAAGCAACAGCTCCCTTTCATACTACTACTGTAGTTTATTTTCTAATGTGCTTATAAGTTTTAGTGATTAAATAGCATACAAAACTTGTAAAAACGTTTTCTATATTACTTTCCGCTGCAGGAATGCTTCTTCTTCGTGAGTAGTCTTACAGTCAGGCAGTCATGGCAGACAGTGGA